TTGTTATGTTGTTCTGTGTAGATAGTGTTTAATTCGTGGTATATTTGGTTGTATATTTCTTTATTTATGTTATTCATGTGTGTGTTTTTCTTTGTCGTTCTATATATATGGTAGTTCTCCAATGTGTTCAAGTATCGCCCCTTCCTACCTGTTGCTATGATATCCATAGTGTTTTCTATAGTACCATATGCATGTCCTGTGTTTAATGTGTTCTGAATATTCTTTCATCATTTATACAGGCAATGGCAGTATATAATCATCTTTCAAAGAAGAATGAAGTCATCTCATCCTCCCTAGACAAGACTGAGAAAAGTGCTGAATATTTTAGTGATAAAGAAAATTAACTTCAAGTAAAGCCAGTGTCAACAAAACCTTTTGATTTGGCAAAGTGATAAACTAAAACTATCACATGATACATCAAGAATGTGATCACCAATCAAAGTGTACTAAGTTATAAACTTTCTGCAATAAATTACATTACACAGTAACTGTGACAATATATGCTTGTCACTTTGCCTTTTGAATTAATAAACAGCGAATGGGAATGCCTAAACATTTTGTTGACAAACAAAGGCAGTTTCAGTTGTATTCACTCCCTTACTACTGAATGCCATTAAGGGTCATCTTTCTCATCATTAGGCATAGTTGTCTATAGGTATTACAATGTAGAATTCACCAAACATGACCTTCTTGGTTCACATTTTGTAAATTTATGATTCTGTCAAAGTTTGTTCTATTGTCTCTCTAATGTCTCCAGACATGATCTTATTGGCCTCAGATGGGCCCCATAGAATCCATGTGGGGAGGGAGCAGCTATAGGGTGCACTCATATTTTGTTGCATCCTGTTCTGTAAATCACTGTAGACGATAATAGTAATAATAATAATAGGAAATACCGTTTTATTGACAGGAATATAATAAATATTAGCTATAGGGCAGCTTCTCTTTTGCCTAGTGACAGGGGGGCTTGCTATTCTTTACATTCCTAATGTTTTATGTTCAGTAGAACTGAGAGTTTTAATCTCTGAGCAGAAAATCCACATACAGATCAAGCTTAGAACCCTCTCAATTAGAATTCAGTGTCTTACCAAGAGATGAGACCACTATGTCCTAAAACTTGTTCTTCCTAATTTGTGTTGCAGTATTATACATAATTCACACATGCTATGAAGAAACTTCAGTTACATGAATTTACATTGATAATTAGGAAACGTTTACCACAAACTTTTTAAGGACAAATGTCTGATGTATCAACACCTGAGTGACTTATAAAGCAGCCAAACATGTGATATACATATTGCGTCCCACCTTTTTTTTGTATTGGGGAGGTCTTTTGGTGCCTTGTGTGACTGCTTAGCTCAAATAAAATTAACATTCTACACTGTAAAATTTTAGCATCATCTTCATATAAATAGTCCATGCATCAGATTTGGTTTCCTTTGCAGACAGCTGTTTTAATGACTTATGACAGTTTACTGATACTCTTAACAGATGAGGGGCTATGCTACAAGCTGGAAGGTCATGGGTTCAAGTCCTGATGAGGTCACTGGATTTTTTTCAGTTGACCTAATCCTTCCAGCTGTACTCTGACCCTGGGGTTGACTCAGCCTCTAACAAAAATGAGTACCAGGAATTAATTAAATAATTTTCCTGGGGAGTCAAGCGCGGCCGGTGCATAAGGCTGACAACCTTACCACCATCTTTGAGCCGATTGTCTAGATAATGTGGGACCCTCAGCGTCTCACAACCCTATGGGCCTTCATGGCCTGTGACAGGGATAGCTTTACTTTTACTTTACTTACTTAACAGATGGGAAATATATGTCCATTATAATACAGAGTCATCAAAGAAGAATGCCAGGATTAAAAAAACTATCACTCAAAAACTGTTAAATGTATCGATATGATTCAAGCATTAAATTTCTAAGAAATGTCTGAAGTTTTTTAATGTACTCGTGAATTTCGTTTGGTTGCTCTGATCCCCAAATTTGGTAATTATGCCAGTTAATGCACCCATTCATATAAAAGTCGCCTCATCCATGAAATAAATCTGGTGTAGAAAGTTTCATCATCAATTTTGTTCACCATTACCTGGCAAAACATTTGGTCATCATGTTTGATTTCATGCTTCAGCTGAATCTTGTAGGCATAAATGCTCATGAATGACGTTTTGAATCATAGTTTTTGGAATCTCTAATTCTAAAGTCTGATGAGCGATCAAATTTTTAGGGCTTCTTACACAGGACTGTCTAATGTGCTCCACATTCTCTTCTCATGTTCCTAGTTGACCTGAAGACTTCTGCTCTGTAACACTTCCCATTCCTTTGAACTGTTTAAACCAACAATTCAGAGCCTTATCATCTGGTACTTTTTCTCTTGGATGTGTAACCTTTGCCACTTGTGTTAAACTGTTACAACTGATTTCAATTCTGCAGACCATAAAACAAACTCAGCCTTCTGTTGCATGGTCCACATCTTACCTGTCACTAACTCACACTGAAAGGTAATAAAGCTAGTGGGGCTCAGGAAGTCTTGCGCACAAGTTGTATTGATTGGTCAATTGACATAAGCATCTCAACGTCGCTCACTACCCACCATCAATTAAGCACATCCAGAACTTAATGTTCTTCACTGCATTTTAAAACTTGAATCACTTTGATATGATAAACAGTTTTTGAATGATAAGTTTTTATAATCCTGGCATTCTGCATGATGCGTGAAAGCCAGAATTGTCCACTGCTAGATAACGGCTTGCTAACATGTTTCTATGGAGATGCAGATTCATGGAGACTGACTTGGTACAGAATGCACTTTCCATGTCACCGGAATCAACAAAGGGTCTCATGGGTATATGCAAGCAACAAACATTTTCCATGTTTACTGCTAGACTATAAAAGTGGGAGTGCAGATAATATTGATTCAGTTGTAAGAGAGTTCAGTGTTCAGCTGTGCAGTGTTAACGAGCAGGCAACGGAAGCTGAAGTGACTGACTCGTAAATCAGAACCAAGTCAATCACAGCTGAAGGGAACACCTGTAATCCAGCAAGGAACAGAGAGAGTCTTAGACAATCGTTGATTGTGAGCTGTTATAATTGACTGTAATTGTGGAGGAGTGCCAATAAATCCAATCAAGAACCCGTTATTATTGGTCACAGAACCCCAGACATGTGACAATATGCACATGTGGGGGAAACTTCAAGGAAGGTGGAAAATCTGTGACGCATCTGATCATCTAAGTCTATAAAACCCATGTGGGTTATGCTGACTTGATGACAGGATGACAGAGAACTACAGCATAAGCAAGAGAACCTAGAAGTGGACATACAGGTCTGCACATGTGAGTACCGATTATATACACTGGCACCTTAATATGTAGGTGAGTGCCAAACAATTATTTTACAAGTATCAAAACTGAATTAAGTAAATAACAAATACAATCAAAAACACAGTATTCTCCGAAAATCAGGGATAATTTACTGAAGGGAAAGAGAAATTATTTACAACTCCAACCTAACTTAATTACACATAAATGTTAAACAAGCTAATTTTCAGAAATCTGAAATATTCTGAAAATTATTGTTCACTAGTGTTTCTTAATTCACAAACTTACTAATGCAACTTTCTGTTATGTCTCGGTGGCTCACTGTCAAATTCCACTTGTTTTTCTAAGACATACTATCATAATCTTAAAAATGAACTCCAGAAAGGCTCAGTGATTAGTCAATATTGGGTTAACCTGCCTAAAAACTTTAATTGGATTTAATATTTGAAATTCTGCAATTCACAAGGATCAGAATTATTTAATCAGGATGATTTGTGTCATTGGAATGACTCATTTACATGATGGTCCCTTTACAAAGCAGATCACTTTTATGAAACTTACTTTCACAATACTGTATCAAAATGTTTATACTTAACAGTACAGTTAATCATGGAAGCGCAATACAATATCTGTATCTAAGCTAAATTCACTGTTATCATAGTATACAGATAATGTTCAAATACATATATACAAAATATTGAGCAGTACTACTTCATAAATATCACACTTTTCTTCTTTAATTACAAAAATATATATGTATATTTATGATTGCTGCACACATGTTCATAAAACAAGTTTTGTAGAAAATTAACATTATGATATGAAGATATGTTATGTATTTTGCTGCAGTGTAGGAACACTTCGTTCCTGCTGCTCTGATTCTGAAGCACTCAGACCTGTTCCTTCAAAAGCTCGCAAGTGAATCTAAAATAGAAATAATAAAAAATTTACTTTATGAGACAGCCTCCTCAGAGTTTCTTTAAAAGTCTAGTCCTTTGTATAAGGTAATCAGAAAGTCAAGCAAGACATCAAATATGAAGGTTTTACAATGACAAAAATGCAGTCAAATCTTGGGCTATTAGCTGTCTTGAAATTCATGGAATGACTGGCCAACAAGACTTAACTACAAGCAACATATGTTATTAATCTACTCATTCTCAGGAAAATATTAAATGTTTATACATGCCAATGCAAAGGTGACAGCACTACTACATGCTATTTATTTACTTATGGTTTATTTTATAATGCTGTCTATATCTTAGACCATATAGTTCCAAACCATGTGACTGAAGAATAATGAACTGGATGTGGTTGTGGCTTAATTAAGATACTATCCCAGCATTTCCTTAGAGAAACTGAGGAAAAGTACAGAAAACCAAACTGGGGATAGCTGATGTCATGGCTGAGATTTGAACCAGGTAGCAGCAGAAAATTTTCATACAAATCTTATGTTTAAACTGGGACTACTGAGCTTTTGGGCTCTTTCCATCTTCCAGTTCTCTATAGAACATGTTTTAGAATGAATCTATTTACATTGTCAGGTGAAAGGGCAGGAAGCACCTACTCTGTTGGGTCTGTTAGAAGGAGTGACAGGTTATCGCTTTCCAATGGAACCCAACAGATGTTTCTCACCCTTTCACCTGATAAAAGAAACAGATCAGTTTCCAAAACAGTGTGTTCTTTTGAGTACTGGTTGATGGATAAAGGCCAAAAAACTGTCACCCTAGGATAGATGAATAACCTTTTTCAAATACTTTTAATTCTTGGTATATTTCTTTCCTTTTTCTTCTTCCAATGTATATCCCCTCCCCCCAATTGGGAGGGAGAGGCAGATGCCTGCTTCTGCCTTGTTCCATGCTCAGTGCACTTACTTGTAAATGAAGATTGACTTCGTCACTTCGGCTTAGGTATGGAAAATTGCCACCAGACTTCAGGTGTGCCAGTTTGGCTGATGGGTAACATTTATACATTTCTTCTCGGACAGCATTAGACAGTGCATAATCATCAAATACATCCAAAATGGTGACAGAGAGTCCACTTAACTTCTGTGGTTCAACATAGCAGCTAACACAATTCATTGTTAGTCTTGAGGCCAGTTCTTTCTGGCTCAGACTTTCAAGCTGTAAATAAAATGTTATGTACAATGTAAAATATTGGTAATACAACAAAAATGGCAGCAAACAATCAGTTCATAATCATCAAATACATCCAAAATGGTGACAGAGAGTTCACTTAACTTCTGTGGCTCAACAATACAGAATTTTACAGAAAATTTTAATTTAATATTTATGATATGTTTTCCTGTACATGAGGTGTAAGAAAAGTAGTAAATGTAAGATTTGAGGTTTTCACGGTGGTGACTATGAAGAAAGCAGTCTTCTCGGTTGTGGCGCCATGTAGATATTGTGTTAACCGAAACGTCAGTTAACATAATATCTACATGGCACCACATCCAAGAAGACTGCTTTCTTCAAAGTAATAAATGTTTAAAAACTTCTGGACAGTTAAGAAATTCAAAACTTACTATTTTGCATTATCGAATACTCACTCTCTCTACCATGAAGTCTATTGAATCTGCAATTCTACTGTCAACTCGAAATGCAGTAAAATTTCCCATTACCATTTTCTTCAGGACTAGTGAAGGCAGAATCCAAAACCTATGAAGATAACATAACATGGCCATAATTTTAATAGATACTCGGAGAACATATTATGTATTTCATATTCTCATCACCTTCCACCAAAAACCAATTACTGCATTATTTATTGTTTACTTCATAACAAACTCTTTTTTTATAATTCGTAATGAACAAAAGGTATTTTACCATCCTGCCATAGTTCTATAATTACAACAGTGAACTGAACTGAGAAAATCAAATGAAAGCAAAGAGCAGCATCTGTATTGTGAAAGTTAAATATGTTTCCAAATTGAACTGGAGTATAATGATCACTAATTACGATAATTCATACTACTTCACTTACACTGCTGCAGAGTCACTGTAACTGAACACTGTTGTATCAGTGAATGTATTGCACAGCACAAGTGAAGCAACTCTTGGACAGTTTACTGTTGATTCTGCGAACTTCTGAGCCAAAAATCCACCTAAAATGTAACAAAAAGGCAGAATCTTCATTCTGTGCTTTTACTATAAATTCATTCTACATATACTTGTGAAAACAGTGTTTCAAAAATAAACACCAAATGAAAAAGAACAAGGCAACTGAATCTTCAACACAGACATCTGTAAGATGAACCTGGTTAGGAGGCTTTCGAACCAAGGTATGATCAAGAGGTGATACAAATTTAGACTAGAATGCCATATTTATCATTGTTAAATTAAAAGGATGTACTGCTATTTACAAGACACTATTTTTAAATTATACATGATGTACCTACAAAAATACTTTGTGCCACCTCACTTAGTTTACTTTCTTTTCTATTAAACCTGTGTGTATGTATCATCCCTTCATCCCCTTAACAACATCTGAAGCACCTGATGGAATTTTATGATTCTTGGTATGATCATGCCATGGGATGCTACCCCAGCATCATACTTTTATTTCATTATCATCAATAATACCAACATAGCAGTCATGTTAAAATCTAAGGGTCTGTGGTCTAGTGGTCAGAGTTCGCTTAGTGGGGGGTGCAGCCCAACTGGGTCCACTTGGCACGGCGGCCAGTGAGTACCCTATTGTAGCCTGCCCTGGGTGATTATGATGATGGAGAATTTGGTAGAATGAAGATTGGCAGGGGAAACCAAAGTACTTGGAGAAAACCCTCCCCAGTGCCTTTGTCCACCACAAATCCCACTTGACCAGACCCAGGATCGAACCCTGGCCGCAGCGGTGGAAAGCCAACGACTAACCGCTTGAGCTACGGTGTGGCCTTTGTGGTCAGAGTTCCTGGCTACACATCCAAAGGTCCTGGGTTTGATTCCCAGTGCTACCAGATTTTCTGAGGAGTAGTGGGCCTGGAATGGAGTCCAATCAGCCTCGTGAGGATAATTGAGGAGCAATTTGAAGGAAATAGCAGCTCCAGTCTAGAAAACCGAGATTAACGGCCGTGGGGACACATTGCGTTGACCATGCGACACCCTCTATCCACAAAAGTTGGCACTAACTTCGCTGACAAGCAGTGGTCGCTTGATCGGTATAGTTCACTTGCGGACTACAGGCCATGGAGTTTCTTTTTGTTTGTTTGTTAAAATCTAAGGTAGGAGTAACACTAATGGGACTTAATGCAGCTTCCTGAAATTTTCTCATAAATCATCTACAAAAAAATTACAAGTTTTGATAAGGTCTCTCCTTTCTACAGAATGTATACCAACAGCATGTTGACCATACAACTCAATATACATCCGAAGTCTGTACAAAACCTTTTTCCATCCCCAGGTGATGGGGGAGACATCTACTCTCTTGGGTCTCTCAGAAAAATCTGACCTCAGTCCTGTTTCTGAAATGTTTTCTAATTTTTAGAATATTGGACAATGGACAAAGTCTGAAAACCCAGAAATTCTGAATACTAGTATTTAGTTTATTTTATGGTATTTTGATTTTTATTTTATGGTATATTTAGCGATGCTGTCAGCAGCTCAGACTGACTACACAGTAACAGATGATATAATGTTTAGTCAGTAATGAACTGGAAGGGATGTGGAAGTAGTTGTGGCCTATTTTGAGGCACTGTTCCAGCATATACCTGGAGGGACTGGAAAACCATGAAAACCCTCAGTCAGGACAGTCAATGTCCTGGCCAAGTTCTGAATGTGGAAGCTTCTGAATACAACTCAGAAGCGTTACTGCTTGTTGGATCATGTCTGACGAGTTTCATGAAGAGGGAATCCGTACTAATAGACATTATACACAGAAATAATGTACTAGGTTGCATAAGAATTCATAATTACCCTATCCTCTCTCTGTATATGGAAGCATTTAAAGTAAATCAGTTTTTCTTCCCCATCCCCAAACCTCAACAGTATGTAAGGACAGTTGGTTTGGTATGTTGTTTTTACATCTAGTATGTATATGCCCACACAGAAGAAATCACTTTACCCAATGATGCTCCAAACATGTGTACTTTATGCAACCCCAAGTAATCCAGGAGCTTCCTGAAACCTTCACACCATTCTCTTACGCTCCAATAAACAGGATGTTCTGCCTGTGAACAGAGGAAGAAATAATATTTAATATAAAGATGACAAAAATGTATAAACAAACACATTACATATTCATAATTTTAAGTTTCTATAGGTGGATCAGTGTTTTAAATCTTTTGTTAATAACAGTTCCTACTGTAAAATTTCTGAATGAACTGTGATAAGTAGGTGCTGAATATAGCTGATCTGAGTTCCTTTATACAGTCACCCGTAAGGGGATACACGTGATGAAAATAATGGGTTCCAGGTTTGATCATTGGATTTATTGAACACTTCTTCAAAATTACAATCAATTATAGCACTATCACTAATCTTCACAATTTACTAAGGCATGCTCCATTCTTGTCCTTGTACTCTCAACTACTGAACTCTTAAATGACCTTAGTTGTCCCCTATAAACCTTTGGCATGGACTACACATAGAAAACATATCAATTGCTCAGCATCAAATATCCTGTATCATCAGTCATCTCCACCCATTCATTGCCTAGTGATGGACATCCTACTGTTGCGTATTTGTTGCTGCAAGACGTGTTTACCGGTCTGTTACCTAGCAATGGTTATCCTATTGTTGGATGTGTGTTAGTTGAAACATGTTTACCTATTCATTTCCTAGAAACAGCTCAGTCTGTCACAATACATGGTAACCACTGAAGCCACCCTGGTAGAAGAGCATAATGTTTACAACTCTTTATTGACCATCACAACACAACAAACAGAACAAGGTGCTGACCTTGATTTTTTGTTTGTTGTGTTGTGACAGTCAATAAACAGTTGTATATTGTAACACAACACATGCACAAAATGAAAAGCATAATGTTTGTTGTTGTTAGGAGAATCTACAGACCTATCACAAATTTCATTGTTATGAGGGGGGGGGAGAAAAATTGAAATGCTGCATCCTCAATGAAGAGAAATTTATGAAATAAGTGCTATGCTTGAATATTCTCAAAAACTCCTCAGATGCCTCACACAGGAAGTGGGTGGAATGCATGCATCCAACAAGGAGCATTTCCAATCTGCTACTACCTCATGAAGTTTTACTTGCAATCTGTTAGACTACGTGCCTGTTGAGTCTGCCTGCAGTTTCCATGTCTCTTCTGGGTGGAAGGAATGGCTAAACTCTTGAATGATCACACTGTACATTGTCAGTCTTTTTTCATGCATGTATATATGTCTTGTGGTGTAATGTAATACATGCATATTGTTACATGTTCAAGAGACTATAGATGGGGGTCTAGATTCGTAATGGATTTCTTGGACCCTCATAAAGATCATAACTACCAGTAACTATAGCGCTATCACTAATTCAGACACTCTTCTGTTCACCACAGCACACACTAAGACTTCTCAGTCTGCTGTGTCTTCACTAGTTGTCTGGTAATGGCTCACAACTAACTCAGCATTGCTATGCAACGATTTACAATGGGGGGACCTCTGTCTCCATGCCTCCACCAGTGGTGTCTGCCTTAGAAAAGCCTCAGACTCAGGCTGGTCTGTCTGCTCTCTAGACTCTAGACTAGCTGGCTTCAAAGTCAAGACTGCCAACAGTCAGTTGGCCAGTCTTTCTTGGTGTCAAGCAGTGCTCTGGGGCCCAAGACCAGATTTTTATTACTGTCAGTTGCATGTTTGTTGATGTGAGGCATCCTCTCTAATGAGAGGACAGGTCTGTTGTTTATAATTNGTGGGGGAGTTTTATACGCTGATACCCCAAGTCCTGAGGACGAAAAACGGTTCTACATATATTTCAGGATGAATATTGACAGGTTTGATGAAATCCTGAGAGCCATCAGGCAAGATATCACTAAACAATATACCAATTGACGGAGGCCTATTCTTGCCATGAAGTGGAGGATTTTTTTGATACCCATAGAACTGAAAGAAGGAAATATAAAACACATTGTATCAGCAGCATGTTTGCTTCATAATTTTCTACGTCTCAAAATCTGTGATGAAAAGTACAGGGAAGAACTGCTACGAGTGGAGCCATTAGAAGGAGAAATGTTCCCTATCCAACCTTTACGTCTCCCAAGGGCGGCAAACGTTAGCTACGCCATTAGAGAGCGGTTTGTTAACTAGATGACTGCCCCTGGAATTAGTGTTACTGAACGGAACTGGTGCACAGCCTACATTAAGAATGTCCACAGTTACTGTAAGCTTAACCCTATAAAATATATACACAGATTTTTCTACTTGCTGTCTCTGTTCATTGTAACAGCTAATTCCTTCCACTTTCTATCCTTAGCACGTGAATCCTTGAACATCGCATGACGAGTATCGTACAATAAAGCATTTTCTTTGACGAACTCTATTATTTGTTCCATTTGGCTACCCATGTCGTTTCACGTACATATAGATACTGATTGAGTGTGAGTCATGGCCAGCTGGTTATCGGGTGTCAAAGATTCCCGAGTTCCGAGTGTCGCGTCTGTGTTTGCGGCCCACTTGGTAAACAGCCGCTTTCGTCCCGACTGCTATATCGTCCCGAATCGTATCGCGTCTGTGTGTGGGAGCCTTAAGACTTCTCAGTCTGCTGTGTCTTCACTAGTTGTCTGGTAATGGCTCACAACTAACTCAGCATTGCTATGCAATGATGGGGGCACCTCTGTCTCCATGCCTCCACCAGTGGTGTCTGCCTTAGAAAAGCCTCAGACTCAGGCTGGTCTGACCGCTCTCTAGACTCTAGACTAGCTGGCTTCAAAGTCAAGACTGCCAACAGTCAGTTGGCCAGTCTTTCTTGGTGTCAAGCAGTGCTCTGGGGCCCAAGACCAGATTTTTATTACTGTCAGTTGCATGTTTGTTGATGTGAGGCATCCTCTCTAATGAGAGGACAGGTCTGCTGTTTACAATTGCTGCTGGCCCTTGTCAGCATAGTCATATTTACTATGTGTGAACTCTGGCAGCCATTTGCTTCATGAGTTTTAAAACAATTTTTGTGATGGCCATTATTCTGTCTTCCTCTGACACAGCCTCATTACACTGTATCATGATCTGCTGAAATATTGTTGCAATTCTTTGAATACTGTCATTCAGAAAATAACTGTTTGCATTAGAAGCCTAAACTGACTGACTTGGTACTTGTTGGTTGTGTCTCAAGGGAGGGGTGGGAGCACTCATTTCTCCCACTGTGATAGCGCAGGCCTGTGCATCTGAGGGCAGCTGAAGCTGCTTTTGTTGCTGTGTATTGCTGGGTAGCACCGCCACAAAGGATTGTCCTCAGGTGGTGTGGCTTACAATTCCGTTGTTGGCTGCCTCGATTGTTGGAGGGATGAGGTTCCTTTCTGTTCACCAACTTGCAATTGTAGTACACTGGTATTGATACTGTAATGTCCTTTTCCTGGTATTCCCTGTGCAGGTGACTGCCCCTACACCACATTCAACAGGGTGGTTGCTTGCTATTTGCCCAGACGTGGCCAAATTGTTGGCAGCTGTAACTCTGTGCGAGACCAGTCTGGGCTTTGTATGCCTCTACCCTGACAGCAATATGGCAGACTCATCAGTCTGAATATCTCATGGGATTCTGGTGTCCTTCGTATGGTTATTGAATGAATGAATGAATGTCTAAGGGGTGGGCCTTCTTGGCCCTTGCACTGTGACCACAGTGATTTATAATGTCTTTGGTATGGTTATTAGGAAGAGGGGAATGTTTACTGGGGTTGTTCCTTCTGCTGGTGATCAACAGGTGGTAGATATTTGTTTCACGCTAATAACATTGAAGCCAAGGTTCACCAACCCATCTGAGATGTCCTCTGCAGGAATTGAAACTGGAAGGTGCTGTATCACAGCCTATATACTAAGGGCGTTCCATATATAATGCCTCCTATTTTTTTAAAGAAAACTACAAGAGACACAGAAATCATAATAACGCAGTTAAATAGAGCAAGATTTCAGCTACTTACAGCTATTTTTCCACATAATCACCNACGTCTCACCTCCAGTGACAATGTTGTCCAGAAACTTGTTACCTTCAGCCTCAAACTGGTGCAACAGGTCCTGACAGACTTCCATTTGATGAGCTTCGTGGTCCCATGTAATCATCCGTGGGACCCACCTGGAACAAACTTTGCGATAATCGAGCTTCCACAACATCATTTCCAATGCATTACAGCTGATATTAAGCTGTGCACACAGTTCCCTGGTTGTTATCTGCCAATCTGTACGGATGAGCTGATCGAGGTGCTGTTCATTGTGAGGAGTAGCAGCTGAGCAGGGATGCCCAGGGCATGGTTTGTCGTGCACTTCACTTTCGCCAATGTTGAAACACACTACCCACCGCCTCACTGTGCTGACATCCACTGTATCATCTCCGTACACCTTTAGCAAGTGTCAATGGATGTCAATGGGTACAATTAGTTCGGCAGTGAGAAATTCAATAACACATTTCTCTTTCATACGCACTTCTATGTCAGACGCCATTTTGGTAGACTGCTCTGCTGTCGCTATCTGTCGCACGACAACCAAATTAACAGTACATTGGCGGCAAGGTTCAGCCTTTACTACAACACCACCAACATACAGCTCAGACATTACATATTAACACAAAAAAATAGGAGGCATTATATATGGAACGCACCATGTAGGTTCCCGGGATTTGTGATAGAAGGTGAAATATGGGAGGTTATTGCTCTTGAAGTTCGAGTGCATGATTGCAAATCCGCCATTTCTTGCATTACAACTCTGGTCCCATTTCTGGTTTTACAGAACTCAAATTTGCCTTTCTGTAAACCCTCGAATTGCATTTGTAATTGTATCAGGTTTCCTTGAGAGGTAAATACAGTGGAGGCAGTCTACCTGCCTGGCTGGATGGCACTTGATGTTGCTGATGCTCTGTGGTCAGCCTCCATTTCAATTGATCTCAGTGGGTTGAAGAAGTTCCGGGTGGGAACTTCAGGCTTCGACTGCAACTGGGGGTCGTTGACTCCTGTGGCATATGTTGTAGGCTTCTTGACTCTTTTGTCAGTGTTGTCTGTAGGTTTTTGCTTTCATCTTCTTTGCTCATAGAATTCACTGATGGACAGATCCGCAGTAATTGTGATCTTGGCTGTTTCCCCTTTGGCGGCTGCCGTCAAGTCAAGTAGCAC